CATACTTACCCCGATGGGGTGTTTATAGTTCTCTAAAACCCTAAAAATAAAGTAAAAAAATAATTAAAGATAAATCCCAAAAATATTAAAATAAATTCCTAAAAACAAATGATAATTCTTAATTCAAATTCAAATTCAAATTCAAATTCAAATTCAAATTTAAACTTAATTATATTTATCCTTATGTTCTTCTAGAATATTGGTTGAACATTCTAGAAGCTACTGACTGGACCTTGTAGAAGCTGTCACATCGTACATCATCATGCCTAAAGTCTTGCCCATTTATCTAACCTTGACTCCAGAAAATAAAAACTGCAGAATTTTGCATGTTTAACACTCTTTCTTGAATTTAACGTCCTATATAAAATACAAATAGAAATACCCCAAATCAATAATACCAAATAGATAACAAGAAGTAATTAAAATAAAATAGTAACAAAATAAAACACTCATCAAATTCCTCATAACTTATTAAATGCTTGTCCTCAAGCATTTCTCAATAAACACATCAAAATTACAACTTGCCATCCTTCATCTCACAACATATCCAAGTCAACCAAATGAATCAAGATCTTTACAATTATTAGAATCAAGAATAAATCAAGTTAAGGTATAATTAAGAACAAGTTTAGGCAAAACTTGACATCCCAATAATCCGTCAATTTCAATGTAGCAAGACTCAATACCTCGTAAAGATTCACTAATTATCACTTAAAGTGTTTTGGGTAAAAGAAAATCACTCAAATCGGAACTAATCAATGAATTACCATAAACTTGTAATTAAATAAAGTTTCCACTTCAAACAATGAAAAAATACAATAGTCAGTGGATCTTTAAAAGGGTTGTAACGGGGCTTAGGTTAAGGTGAAGAAAAAAGCTAAAAATTGGGTTAAGTAGCAAGAAAATAGACATTCATTCCATGAAGTTTAACAAAATAAAAAAAATGCAAAGAGTGGTAACAAAAATCAAACAACCAATTATTTTTCTTATTCTTTTTTCTGAATTTTTCTATTTTTCTGTTCGACACTGTTCGAACCAGCTTCTTTTTTTTCTTTCAAATGTTTCCATCACTGTTTTTTCTACTTTTTCTGAATGAATTAATCTCTGTTCTAAAAAGGGTAACAAAAAAGAACAAAATAAAAAGGGCTCAGTTAATCACGGGGTAAAATAAAGAAAGGGCAAAAATGCTCAAAATTGGTTAACTAATCAGAAAATAAAAGGGTAAGCAATATTTTTGAGGAATAGAAGTGGCTAAATCCTAAGTGTCCGTATCACACTAAAGTATTAAGTTCAATAATGTAGTCTCGATATGTATAGAAATACAAGTTCTAGAATGTCAAAAACTAGTCTGATACACTCAATCAGACAATGAGCAAGAATGAAAATATATGCTCGTTAAGCTCAAACCTCACATGAAAAGGTAACAATTCAATCAAAAAATGTATGGGATATCAAGTAAAAATTTAAATGAAAACACTATCATGACAATTAAATATCATGCATCCTAATTTCCAACAAAAGCAAGATCACAAAACATAAGGCAATCAAAGAGTTAAGATTTAGGATAGGCAACAAGAAATTCCAATATACCAATCAAGAAAACTCAAATTCAAATAATCAAATAAGCAAGCGAAAATTTTGATGCAAATTCTACCCCCACTTAAATCATATTATCTCAATATGTAAATAAATGGAGAGGGAATAGAGATACTCCCTATTCTAATGATGACCGCGGCTGCATCGAGATGTGCCCAGGTGAAGGTAAGATAATATCTCGGTAAGGTTAATCTCGATGGAGTTGAGTTGACATATACTTCATGAATTTGGGTATACACGTCCGACTGCTGATCCTCTTCTGGTGCCGGTTGTGGCATAGTTCTTCAAAGGAATATACAATCATCACGAGGCAAAATGATGTTAGGAGGAACAATGTATGGTGCATCGAGAGTATCGACGAGGAGTCCCATTGTATCCAAGCTTCTCACATCTAAAGCATCCATAAAAAAGCGTACGTAAATTGTTCAATATTGAAAGTTAATGGAAAAAGACGAGATGCAAGATGAGTTATACAAGGGCCAAAAATAAGTGGACAACTGGAGCGCACGACATGCTCAAAAGCTCGAGCGAACCAAAAGCCCAAGTTTACCTTGGTATTGGTTTGTATACTCCACAAGAAAAATAATTCAACCTTACTTAAACAAGACATAGTATCGTTTCATCTAGAGTAGATGTATGCAAGGAACCAGTGAATGTAGCAAAGCGCCAGATCGTGAATATGCCATCCTTTCGTAGTTCGAGCATTTTAAGTTTACCCCGCCAAGCCGGTAAGAGCCTCGTAAGCAAGATCGACACCAAATTCCTGCAGGATCTCAAGTAAAGCTGTTAGATAACCATGATACATGACATCTTTCACGGATCCCATAGAAAAATTAAAATCGATAATAGACATCTGAATGTGATGTCTCATTAAACGGGAATAAATAACATCAAATGAGTCAATGTTAGCAATACGATTTTGCAGAAAAGTAAATATAGCATAAAATTTAAACACTAACTCATAAAATGTTCCACATTTAATTTCATATTATGGGGTCTAACCAATAGTATCAAAATATTGCATAACATAATTGCGCAAATGTGAAGTTTTTAACGTGCGAACAGGAATATATTTGTAACCTGAAACTTATGGCAGTGAATTCTATTGAAACACACAACTTTATCGTCATCGAATTGCAAGTAGCCGATAATTCTCCAAAAGAGTTATCTTTAATAGCCTTTTTCACCTAGGTCTAGTTTGAACTTGAGCATTTTTAGGATTATATTTGCTTAATTTTATACATTTTTTATATTAGGAACTTTGTGGATTTTCAAGGGCTAAATTTGATTTTTGTTGCTGTAAAACTGTTACATTGATGCTATAGTATTGCAAAAAATGTTGAGGAGTTACTGCTGCAGTCGATGAATCTCTAAACGATTGGGAGAACTTTCTAGATGAGATAGATGGCTTGGGTAGCTGTCAATGGGCTAGATATCACCTGAAATGTGGAAGCTTTTCATTGAAAGATGAAGATTTCATCCAAACTATAAATAAGAGTACTTGTAAGCCAAACAATGGGACGATTGGAAGCCATTTGAAAGTACCCATTTTTCCACGTTAATTCTTTGTACGACATAGAAGCTTAAACCCCCTTCCAGGGATTATCGCAGCACAAGGAGAGCTCGTTGAGTAGCATCGACAATCAACAGATCACCATTCAAGGCCTTCTATTGAGAGAGGGAGTGATTTGATTGTCTAAAACTCTTTGTGGATGATATTGTGGATTTATTATTTTATGTTTACTTTGCTACCTCTTTTATGTACTTGATGCTTTATGATTATGAGTAGAAATACTTATGATTAAATATATGGTAATTTTGATTATTTCTAGAAATAGATGTGGTTGATTTGCTACATGTCTTTGATAGCGTTGGTGTTGCTGAGTACCTCTGTGTGTGCTGAAAAGCATACAACCAATTGATTAGTGTTGTTAATATTTTGAACCTTTAGTTAATGAAAGTAATTAAATAATTTCAGAAGGCCTTAATCAATGTTGATCACATAGATTTGGTATGTTTTATTTGGATAAGAATGATGTTCACAATATTTTCTACATCAATTTGAGAGCTAACTTAGTGCTCTCTGGACTGCTGTAGCATGAGCTGGTGTTTCCTCTATTGATTTTACTATCTTTTACTTTAATATCTTTTCATAATAAACATTCTTTATGCTTACAAACTCTAATGAAAATACCATGCTCCCTGTGGGTTCAACATCTATAGCATTTATTTGCTACCACTTTATTACTTGATATCGACATGTGCACGTGCGTAATTGCTCTAGCATTTTTGTAGCATCAAGTTTTTAGCACTGTTGTTGTGGAGCATCGGTTTGATTTAGGGTTTTCTTTATTTTGCTTACTTTGTTATTTTCTTTTGTAGGTATTTTCATTTTTTTTTCTTTTACTAGTGTATGCCCCGAAGCGAAGAAAAATTAAAGCCGTTTGATCTAGAGATTAAAAGGACTTTTAAGAGACGTCATCGTAAAGCTAAACAGAATAAAACAAATATGGTTGGACGAGGAAATGATGTTTTACCCCGTTACAAAATAGAGAGAATTATGAGTTGTTAGCCGACAACCATATCAAAATTTGGATGATTGTAGTCGCCCTACCCGCAAGCATGTGGTTCCCAAGTTGGATGATCTGCATCCGAGCATTGTGAGGCTAGTGATTAATACTGTAAATTTTGAGTTAAAACCGATTATGTTCCAAATGTTACAATTTATGGGTAAGGATGGGCATGAGACCCGAACCTGATCCGACCGAGTCAGGTTTTTTAAAAAAAATTCAGGTTCGAGTCGGGTCGAGTAGAGGTTTTTAAAGGTGATGTTCAGGTCCAGTCGAGTTCGAGTTTAGGGTGAAAAATACCCGACCTGACCCGAAAAAATATAATTTTACCATATATATTTAGAAATAATTACAATAATACCCCTCTATATATTATTCTTTTCAATTAAATCAATATTTTTATTGAATAAAAAAATATTTTTTATTATTTCAGCTTGGGTCAGGTCGAGTTTGGATTTTATCTAAAAAATTTGAGTAGGTTTCGGGTCGGGTAGAGGGTATATTTTTTTAGGTCGAGTCGGGTGAATGATGTAAAATTTTTTGGTCGGGTTGGGTTGGTTGAAACCCGACCCATGTCCATCCCTATCTATGGGATAGTATGTAGGGTATGCTGGTGAAGATCCTAGGGCTCATTTGAGAGCGTTTATGGAGGTTTGTGATTCATTTATTCAGCAAGGTGTTTCGGAGGAAGTGTTGAAGCTAAAGCTATTTCCTTATTCGCTACGTGGCAAAGCACGAGTTTGGTTAAGTTCACTGCCACCAGGTGCTATAACATCCTGGAATGAGTTAGCAAGGAAATATTTGTTGCGATTCAACCCAGCAAATATGAATGCAAAACTCTGAAATGATTTAACTTTATTCATGTAGATGGATGATGAAAGCTTGTATGAAGCTTGGGAAAGTTTCAAGAATTTGCTGCGAAAATGTCCTATGTATGGGTTTTCACATTGGACCCAAATAGAGATGTTTTACAATAGGTTAAAGATACACACTCATATGGTGGTCGATGCTTCAACAAATGGAGCCTTGTTAGATAAGACATACAATGAAGCATATGAAATTTTGGAGATGATCTTAACTAATGATTGTTAATACCTAAATACGAGAAATATGTTTGGCCGACATAACGATACAACAGTAGATTCTAAAGCTTTCAACTCTATAGCATCTCCGATTTGAACATCAACGGAAATGATGAAGAAATTGCAAAAAATAGTAGCAATGTATGAAGTCAAAGCTGCATCTTTCATCACTTGTGTTTACTGTGGTGATAATCACAATTTTGATGAATGTCCCCAAAATCCAGAGTTTATCTATTATGTGCAAAATTATCAAAGGAATGATAATGCTTTTGGTAACACATGCAATGTAAATTTCAAGAACCATCCTAATCTTTCTTGGAGAAGTCAAAATGTTACAGATCCACAGTAGCAGCAATATCAACATCAATATTATAATCAACAAAATTAGACGTTGTAGCCACAAGCACAACATATTGTTTCTCAACCAAAACAAAGACAAAATTATCAAGGTCAATCTTTAACCCAAACTTCAACTTTATCATCTCTTGAAGCTTTGATGAAAAAGTATATGACAAGTCAATCAACCTTCTTAAGGGCTTTAAAGAATCAACTGAGACAAATGGATAATGCTCTCAATAATCAATTGTAAGGAACGATGCCTAGCGAGTAATAAGAATACAAAGAAAAATGGTAAAGAACATTGCAAAGCCATTACTACAAGAAGTGGAATTCATATTGGAGAGCCAGTTGAAGAACCTAGAAAAAATGACGAGGAAGTTCCTAAGTATGGTAAAGGAAAGAGCAAAGAAGTTGAGCCCAAGCCACATGTGAGTCATTTCACAACATCAGAAGTAGGACACTGTAGTAATTTAGAGGCATTACCGACAACATATGCTATATCTGACGCTCCGCCAACTTCAATAGCTCATCATCAACAACAAAATATACCTCCACCATTTTCACAATGATTCAAAAAGACAAAAAAGATCAGCAATACAAAGCCTTTATTGATGTCATTCGCCAACTCACAATTAACATTCCATTGATTGATCTTTAGAGCAAAACCCAAACTACATCAAATTCATGAAGGATTTTTTTTGAAGAAAATGAGACTTTTTGAGTTTGAGACTGTCGCTCTTATTGAAGGCTGTAGCGCTATGGCTACTAGTCAATTGCCACCGAAGCTTAAAGATCTAGGGAGTTTCATTATTCCTTGCAATATTGGTGATACATTTTTAGGTAAAGCTTTATCTGATTTGGGTGCTAGCATAAATCTAATTCCATTGTTAATATTTAGGAAATTTAGAAGCGGTGAAGCAAGGACAACTACGATCTTTTTGTAACTTGTTGATCGCTCTACTATGCATCCTAGTGGTATTGAGGGAAACATGCTTGTGAGAGTAGACAAGTTCATTTTCCCATGGACTTTATCATTTTGGATTGTGAAGCGAAAAAAGATGTTCTAATTATTCTTGGCCTCCCATTTCTTGCCACAGACTCAGCTTTAATTGACGTTGAAAAGGAGAATTGACTATGTGTTTGAATGATGAGCATATTACTTTTAATGTTTTGAATAACATTTCTTATATAAATGACTATACTGATTGTTTTCACTTGATGTGATTGATATTTTTGCGTATGAGCATTAGGAGAAATGTTACAATACATATAGTGATACTAGTGATTCAATAGCAATCAAAGAATTCTTGGACGATATAGAAGATGAATGCTATAACAACTATTTGTAGAACATTGAACCTTTAGAAATGTCTGATCATGCTATTTGAGCACCGAAGCCTTCTATTGAGAAACCACCAGAATTTGAATTGAAATCTCTACCATAGCATTTGAAATATGCTTACCTTGGAGAAAATGAGACACTTCCAGTCATTGTGGCAACATAACCTAAAACATTGCAGGAATCTCATTTGATTGATGTGCTGAAACAACATAAGAAAGTTATTGCCTGGATCATTGCTAATATAAAAGGCATTAGTCCATCATTTTGCATGCAAAAAATTCTTTTAGAGGACCCTAATAGTAGCTCGATTGAATATCATCAAAGGTTAAATCTATTCACGAAGGAAGTGGTTAGAAAGGAGATTATCAAATAGTTGGATGCTGACATTATATATCCGATTTCATAAATTAATTGTGTCATTCCTACGTAATATGTTCCAAAGAAAGGCAACATTACTATGGTGAAAAATGATAAAAATAAATTATACCAACAAGAACCACTACTGGTTGGAGAATATGTATGGACTATAGGAAGCTTAACAAAACGATGAGGAAAGACCACTTTCTATTGTCATTCATAGATCAAATGCTATATCGTCTTGCTGGCAAAGCTTTTTACTGTTTATTGGATGGATATAATGGTTATAAGCAAATTACTATAGCACCAGAGGACTAGGAGAAAATAACTTCCACATATTCATATGATATCTTTGCTTTTTGTAGAATGCCATTTGTGTTATATAATGCTCCAACGGCATTTTAACGTTGTATGATGGCCATATTTTATGATATAATTGAACATTATCTTGAGGTATTTATGATTGATTTTTAGGATTTGGGTAAGATTTTGAGAATTGTTTGAATAATTTGGTTGCAGTTTTGAGAAGATGTGAGGAAACTAACTTAGTTTTAAATTGGGAAAAATGTCATTTTATGGTCACTGAGGGAATAGTGCTAGGGCACCAAATTTCCTACCACGACATTGAAGTAGCTAAGGAAAAAGTGGAGGTTATTGAGAAATTGCCACTAATGTGAAGTTAGTTCAAAGTTTTCTTGGTCATGCTGGCTTCTATAGAAGGTTTGTTAAGGACTTATCTCAAATCACTAAGCCATAGTGTTCATTGCTGGAGCAACACATAAAGTTTCTTGTTCATGATGAAGTGATTAAATCTTTTGAAACAATCAAGATGAAGCTAGTAAGCGCACCTGTTATTATAGCACCAGATTGTAATTTACCCTTTGGATTAATGTGTGATGCTAGTGGTTTTGTTGTAGGTGCGGTGTTGGGGAATGAAAAGATAAAGTGTTTCATGTTATACATTTTACGAGAAGAATGTTAAATGATGATTAGGTTAATTACACCACAACTGAAAAGGAGTCACTCGTTGTAGTATTCACCATTGACAAATTTTGTTCATACCTGGTAGGCACACAAGTGATTGTATATATTGACCATTGGGCGCTGAAGCATTTATTTGCCAAGAAGGATACAAAACCTCGTTTGATTCAATGAGTGCTTTTACTCCAAGAATTTGATATTGAGATTCGGGACAAGAATAGATCTAAAAATCAAGTGGCTGATCACTTATCTAGGTTAGAATCTGGTAGTAAAGATGACAACATCTTATAATTCCAATTGACTTCCCTAATGAAATACTATTAGCTACTACAACATTACTATGGAATACATATTTTTCAAACTATATAGTTAGTGGAATGATGCCACCTGATCTGAATTATCAAGGAAAAAGAAAATTTATGAGGGATGTGAAGCAATACCATTGGGAGGCATTGTATTTATTTAAACAATGCAGTGATCAACATATGCGACAATGTATTCCCTAATGTGAACAACAAATCAGTTTATAACATTGCCATAGTGCCCCGTATAGAGGTCATTTTGGTGGTATGCGTTTAGTAGTGAAAGTACTTCAGTGTGGAAACTATTGGCCATTAGTTTTAAAGATGCCAATGAATTTGTCAAGCATTGTGATTGCTGCCAACGAACGAGTAATATTTCTTGACGAAATGAAATATCGATGCAACCTATCTTGGAGATTGAGCTTTTTGATGTCTAGGGATTGGATTTTATAAGTCCATACCCATCTTCATGTGGCAAACTCTTTATTTTAGTTGTTTTAGATTATGTATCCACATGGGTGGAAGCTATAGCCTTGCCAAATAGTAATGCTAAAACAATGTTACATTTTTTGCATAAGAATATTTTCACTCGCTTTGGAACACCTCGTGATTTTATCAGTGATGAATGATCTCAATTCATTGGAAATGAGGTTGCTAGAGCATTGAACCGATATGGTGTAAAGCATAAGATCGCGATAACATATTATCCACAATTTGATGGTCAAGCCAAGGTGTCTAATCAAGAGATTAAGCAAATTCTTGAGAATATTGTGAATCCTTCTAGAAAATATTGGTCACAACGGTTTGAAGAAACATTATGGGCTTATAGAACCACTTACAAGACTCCATTAAGGATGTCACCTTATCGTCTTATCTACAGCAAAGCTTGTCATCTGCCTGTGGAGTTGGAGTATATGGCTATATGGGAATTGAGGAATCTGAACTTTGATTTAGATGCTACAGGTGAAAAACGAATGTTAGAAATTAATGAGTTAGAGTAATTATGAAACAATGCCTATGATAATTCACGCATTTATAAAGACTAGAGCAAGAAATGACATGATCAAAATATTTTTCCAAGGTAATTCATTTATGGACAGCAAGTTCTTCTCTTTAATTTGCGGCTGAAGTTATTTCCTTGGAAGTTGCGTTCTCGTTGGTTAGGCCCTTTTGAAGTTTTCCCTCATGGTGCAGTGTTACTAAAGAACTTGGTGGATAGAAGCACATTTAAAGTCAATGGGTAACGTTTAAAGCATTATTGCCACAAGCAAAGCCTTAGCATTGCATCAATCATACTAAGCGATCCCCTACTTTTTAATTTTTTGGTTTTTGAATAAGTTAATTTCTTTGACATTTATTTTTAAGTTTTTGTTTTTGTTTTTATTGTTATTTTCTTTATGCAAGTTTTTATATCGGTCACTCTTTGCCAATTGTTCTTTGCTGCAAAGCTCTTTACAATATGGTGTGCATCCATTATTGTACTGAAGCTACAACAATACGTAGACAACAATATATCTTTTATGGTAAAATTCAATAAG